ATTGCGAATTACGATAAATTAGAATCATCGAAAAGGTCTCGCGTGCGCGCCCGCAAACAAAAGACTGTCAATTCTTGGATCTTTTGAAGTACTGCAGCGAAAGACTTGAGCCTACTACAAAAGCAGGTCCTGAGCTATTTGTTTTCTATTTTATGAAAAGACAAAGAATGAGGAAAGTCTGCATGGGAATGGTTCACTGTGTCAAATTAGCCTTCTATGCGTATTTTGAAATTTTGAAATTAATGAGGAAAGCAAGGCTATTATTACGGATTTAGCATCTGTTTGCAGTGCTTGATACTCTGTTGTCTAGCACTAATCAAGCGGGCCCACAGAGTTCAAAACTCGCGAACTGAACTCGTTACGGAGTCAAAATTACTTAGGAGCTGAACGTAACGTAGTCATTCTCTCAAGGAAGGAGTTTTTGAATGACCTGGGGCGAAAACAAGTTGTATAGAGATAAGAAGACGGAAATGGATCTAATTTATTTCCCGTTAAGGGGTCTTTACGTTTACGTTGTTCTGCAAGGTTTTTTGAATGTCATCTATAAATTTATGGTTGCACACGTTGCCTGTGTATCACTTTTTTGAGGAAAGTTTAACTTCTGCTTAGCTTTGACTAAATAATGCAGCTTCTGTAAAAATTATCCATAAAGGCTATACAGCCTATATTTTAGGCGTCAATGACCTGTTCGCTTGTGGGTCGTGATTACATATGTTGCGAGCAGCTAATTGGTACAAGAACTGCTAGCGGATCTGCTTCGACGTCAGAAAAAGCAAAGAGAACGAAAACTCAAAAAACGCCGTATCAAGCCTTGGAATGCCCGTCGAACTCCATAGGTCTTCTCGGTCGCGATGGTCTTCCCTTAATGTGCAGCACAAAGCAAAGATGTCCAGTGAGTTTCTCTTCACCCTCGAAAATATATTTGAAAAATGTTATTTAGGGTAAAGCGTTCTGCCACTCTACCAGTGGTCGGTCCATCTGTTGCGAATCCTATGAATTCGCCTCAAACATTCTCGAAGCATCTGAAAACAATATCCGTCGTTCTGCTGAAGTTAGGACTCCTGTAAAAGTGCTGGAACGCACGGCCTCATCTATGTCTAACACGGGTAATATAAACTCTCACTTCTTTCTTAAGCTTTTGTGAACCTGTCTTCTTCCAGCAGTTGTGT